ACGGCTATTTTGGAAAAGTGACCGGATCAACCGGGCATTTCCCACTATTTCCTCTCTTTAAGCAGGGATATAAACATGACTGGAACGGGTCACGGCGACCATTACTCATTTACCCCCCCGATCTTGTCGGGGATTTTCGGGATTATGATGGATTTGGAGAATTTGCAAATAGAGGGGATTAAAATATCCCCATTTATCGTCCCTTTCAAATAATTTTTTTTAATACTATTTTTTTTATAATACGATTTAAATTGATAAACATTAAAATAAAATATATTGAACTAAAAATATTCGGGTCAGGTTCAGGAAATTCGGGGTAGAGACTTCTCACTACGACAGAATCTGATTCGGTGTGTTTGCTTGTAAGGTATGTCCTGACGAAATGCTTAAAATGTCTTACGTGATTCGGTGTGTATCATCGTGAATAGCATTAAAAATGCACCAAGGAAATTCAATGTAATTTTTTATTTTGTATTAAGTTGACTGATAACTACAATTTTCAGTGCCAGCAAAGTTCTTGATAACCACTTCAGATTTTCTTCTTCTTTGTTTGAATTTTTATTTTTTGAAAAACACACAATGATGTATTTTGTTACGCCTCACCGCCGAGGCTCCAGTCAAAGTGCCACGTCGCAGTCCACGTGGTATTAGAAGCTAACGAGGCTGCCAAGCTGGAAGACCATACTAATCACCAGCACACTCAGCAAGAGTTGCAGTATCATCAGCGGAAGAAGGATGCTCTAGAAGGATCACGAAGCTAATTTTCTGTTTTACAAACTGTATTCTGTTTTGCCACATGAGGATGGCATTGTAAAATTTTTTTTTATTTTTCTGTTTGTATAGGAAAGTCGTGAATATATATAGTGATAGAGGGAGCTAAAATGTAATGATTTTGATAATCAATAAAATCTCCTTTCCATTCATTCTCTCAAATTCCCAGTTGAAATTCTCTGTTTTTATTCAGCATTTGTTGAAATGGTATCAAAGCTAGAAATGCAGGATGAAAATACCAGAAATCCAAGCACAAACCAAATTCAAACTCAAAATCAAAATCAAAATCCAAACACCATTACTCATGATCTCACCCAACCAAGTAGCCCATATTTCATCGGAAGCAATGATAACATTGGCACCATGCTGGTTACTCATATACTGGATGCCAGCAACTATTACTCATGGGCATGATCTATGAAAATGGCATTACAGATCAAAAACAAATTAGGCTTCATCGATGGAAGCTTATGCGAACCAACAGATCCCAATGATCCACTCATGGAGTATTGGCTACGCTGCAACAACATCGTGATTACCTGGAAACTACGAAGCCATTCCCAATTGTAGCTGTGGGGGATTAAAACTCGTGGTTGAAAATCAGCAAAGGGATTGGGTGATGAAGTTCCTGATGGGTTTGAATGATTCATATAAACAAATGAAGGCACAAATCTTATTGATAAAACCTTTCCCTAGCTTGAATGAGGTTTATTCGATCATACAACAGGAGGAAAAGAGAAGAGAAATATCGACTAAAGGTTCCATATCTGAGTCTATGGCACTCTTTCAGTAAAATCCGAGGGCACTCCAATGAAAGATACTTCAAAGCTAATCTAGGAAAACCAGTTTGCTCCTACTGCAGAGTTCCTGGTCATGCTGCAGATAAGTGTTTCAAGCTCAATGGATACCCATTCGGCCATAAATTTGAAGGGAAAAATAGATCATCAGCAAATCAATACATTGCATCTTTTGCTTCTAGACAGGAAGTGGTGAATTACAAATCTCAGGTGTCATTAAGTCAGGAACAATACTCTCAACTCATGGCTCTCCTCAAACCTGTTACTACTTCAACATCCTCTCATGAAACTGCACATCAACTTTTTGGTATATCCTCGTGTATGTCTACTCTTAAATCGAAATTACATAACATACTAGACATCCCTTGGATCCTAGATATAGGGGCAACATATCATATGATCTGTTCAACCTCATTGTTTTCTTCTATTCGGGCAAAATTTCATTACTCAGTAGCTCTACCAAACGGTAACAAAGTCTCTGTTACACACATAGGACCAGTAAACATCACCAATGCATTAAGTCTTCAAGACGTGCTCTGTGTGCCCAGTTTTTCTTACAATTTGATTTCTACCAAGAAAATAGCCCAATTGTTCAATTGTTGTCTGATTTTCTTTTCTCATTTTTGTTATATTAATGACCTTTCAATTTGGAAAACGATTGGCATGGGTGAAGTTAAGGAAGGACTCTATCATATGAAATGTGGGGAGGTCTCTCATTCAGCTTTATTAGATCACCTGGCCAAGTTAAACATTAAATATCCAATAGTGTCTCAGCCTCGGTAACTAATAATGTTCAAGGTTTTGATGTATGGCATTATAGATTATTGCATTCCTCTTATTCTATTTCTAATGTAGACGGTGAAATTCACTTCTCCAAAACTTCTAATGACACAGTTTGTTCTATTTGCCCCATAGCCAACTTCATGCGAGTACTCATAGAACTGAAAAATGTTTTGAATTATTACATTGCGATATTTGGGGTCCTTGCTATGAGATTGGCAATGATGGCTCTAGGTATTTTTTAACCATTGTGGATGATTTCA